TTTGTTCTGACTTCTCTGGCATCTCACAGGAGTCTCCTCCTTATTTGCAGGTCACTTGAGATGGTAATGTTGATAACGATATTTCTCAAACATTTCATGGTGATGGACTCATTTCTATTGGTTAATCATTTTTCTTAGTGATTGGTCATTGCAACAAATATCTGATAATTTTCAAGAAGGAAAATCTGGAACTGATTGGAAACAAATATATAAAGGGCAGGTAGGAAGGATAATAAGAGGAAGAATAAAAGAGTTAGGAAAATGAAATAGAGCCAAAGAAATGATTTGGGGAACTACAAATAAAGACTAGACATAGATCTAGTATAAAAGTTGGATGCTGAAGAATAAATTATTAATATTATTAATGTGATTTTATTATTGTTATCTGTTATTCTAGGCAAAGTCTTTGTGAATACAGACATAATTAATTAAAAATGAGACAATCCACGAAATCTTGTACATTTCAAAGGGGAAAATGGCTTGACAATGTACCACAAGATATTGGAGAGAAAGAAAGAATATTGCCTATTTAGAAGTCATACCCCTGAAAAAGTTCTTCTTCACCTGCAAAGCCTACCATGTGGTCCAACAACAGTGCTGCTCCCTTTTTGCTGACTGGCTTCCTGGGCTCAGAGGCAAGTCACCACTTGATCTCTATCCCCTTCTTTATCATTTACCTTTCCATTCTTTTTGGCAATGGCACACTTCTCTTTCTTATTTGGAATGCCCACAGTCTTCATGAGCCTATGTACTACTTCCTGGCTATGCTGGCAGGTACAGACTTTGGGATTACACTAACTACAATGCCCACAGTCATGGGCGTCCTGTTGCTGGACAAGAGGGAAATTGCCCAGGGAGCTTGTTTTATCCAATCCTACTTCATTCACACACTGGCCATTGTAGAATCGGGTGTCTTGCTTGCTATGGCGTATGATCGTTTTATTGCAATCCGCACTCCTTTGAGGTACAAATCCATTCTTACTGACTCCCGAGTGATGAAGATAGGACTTGGGATACTGCTGAGGGGTTTTGTGTCCATTATGCCCCCAATTCTGCCACTCTTTTGGTTCCCATATTGCCGTTCCCATGTTCTTTCCCATGCCTTTTGCCTCCACCAAGATGTCATGAAACTCGCCTGTGCTGATATTACATTTAATCGTGTTTACCCAGTTTTTCTGGTCGCTGTGACATTCTTCCTGGATGCTCTGATTATTCTCTTCTCTTATATCCTGATCCTTAAGACAGTTATGGGTATCGCCTCTGCGGAGGAGCAGGCTAAGGCCCTTAACACCTGTGTCTCCCATATCAGCTGTGTCCTAGTCTTTTATATCACCGTGATTGGCCTGACTTTCATCCACAGGTTTGGGAAACATGCACCACATGTGGTCCACATTACCATGAGCTATGTGTACTTCCTCTTCCCTCCATTCATGAACCCCATTATCTACAGCATCAAGACCAAGCAGATTCAGAGAAGCATTGTTCACCTGTTTTCTGTGTACAGTAGAGCCTGAGCCTTTATTTCAAAATTCTTAGAGCTCTAGGATTTTTTGTTTATTTTTCCCGTTATTGGAAGAGAACTTTGGTTTCATACTCAGGCTCTTTATTCAGAGTTGGATGAGATTTTAATTAGTACATAAAGCTAGAAGTTGATTCAAGCATGTTTGTATATATATATTAGAATATATATCTCTATTCTAATATTAAACCTGTAATAGAATATATATTAAAATAGAATATAAATGTATAGACTGTTTTATTAGAATATATTATAATATATAGTATGTATATATCCTAATATATATTTTCATTATCAGTGAAAAGCCAGAATACCCAATGTGAAAAATACTATTTATAGATATTTGCACACCGATGTTCATAGCAGCATTATTCACGGTGGCCAGGACATGGAAGCAACCAAAATGTCCTACGATAGATGATTGGATAAAGACGTGGTACATATATACAATGGAATGTTACTCAGCCATAAGGAGAGATGAAATACTGCCATTTGCGACAACGTGGATGGACCTTGAGATAAGCCAGACAGAAAAAGTTAAAAATCACATGATATCCCTTATATGTGGGATATAAATCTAAAAGCAACAAATGAACAGGACAAGCAAACATAGACCTATGGACCTGGAATATAGACTAGTGGTTACCAGAGAGTGGGGAGGAGGGTGATAGATGGGGTAAAAGGAGTCAAATATGTGGTGATAGAAAGAAATCTAACTATGGGCAGTGAACATACAATGCAAAATATATTTGACTTACTGTTGAAAAAAATAAAAAATAAAATAAAATAATTTAAAAAAATCTTTCTTTATGAAAAAATACCATTTATAAGATTTAGTATTATTTAGAAAAATTTTGTAAGCTACAGAAGTTGCAAGTCAGAAAAATTGACCGTGGATCTCTTAAACTAATAAAGTATATTTATTAGAAGAATAGCGAGGTGTCATTCAAAATTATTTGCAAAGGATCAGGAAATAAAGCATTTCCCACAGAACTAGTAGATGTCCATCAATTCTTATTTAGCAGAAACAGAGAATGGAAATCTACTGCTGCAGTTATAAACCCTACTGTTACAACTTCCATTTTTCCCATTTTATTCTTTCCTTTTGTGTATCACTTTGAACCAAGTTATAGAATTTAATTTACATTTTTAAAAATTATTCTTGATCCAAGTTATAGAATCTAAATGTTGAAGCCTGAATAAGACTGTTTCCTGGCTGTGGGGGCTTGGGAGAACAAAAGTCATATCCTTTTACCTTCTGTTTTGGGAGAACTAATAAAAAACTAAGTACTTTATAATGATGAATTCATTCCAATTAATAGAGATATGTGGATATAGGACAGTTCAAAACTAAACTAATAAATAGCTACTCCTGAAGTATTCAGTCATTGTGCAAATAGTGATGGTTCTTGGAAAGTTGGACTGAGGTTTTCATTCATCATCATTTTGTTGGTCTTTCTCATGTACCACTTGTTTTTGTAAAGTTAGCATATTGAGTGTATTTCATTTAGGGACATAGATTTCTAATTGTCTTTGCCATTTGGTCTGAAATAAACATTCTAGAATATGAACTACATATAGGGAACCTGCATCCCTATTGACTATTGCTGGATGTCAGTAAGTAAACAAGAAAAAAAAGTTTGGTGGTATTAAAACTTAGTCAAGTAAAGCATTATTGTAAAAGTGGCAAATACAATGTATAACTTTATTTTCGAAGAAATCATTAGGAGGGGCTTTCAACACTATTACCTTGATTGTTACAGGATTGCTGCAAATTTAGAGGCAATGTGCCAAAAGATAAAATTAGGTATGATACAGAACTCTTACATTCAGAAAAAGAAACAGAAGTATCAAAATATAAATAAGAAAACATGATGATATCAAGTTGGGAAATCAAATTTACTCATGAGGTAGCAAGGGATGTCATAATAGCCTGTAAAATTGTCAAAACTTAATGATAAAAGCCAACTGGATAGATATTGAAAATACTGATTCTTGAAAATAAATGTACATGTATGGATTTGAATTTATATAAAACTCATAACATATATTTTTTAAAACATAATTCCTGGCTGTGAAATTAATAAATCAGTATTTACCTACTGATCTAGTTATATAAATTTAAGTAAATTTAAGTAAATATAGTATTCTTCCATACAAGGCAGCTTCCAGACAAGTCTCTGAGTCTCCATGCTCACTCCAAGCTCTATTACCCAGTTTGCCAAACTTAAGATACTCCTGTACAGAATGCCTTGACTTAGTACTGACACGAAAGTAGGAATCATGTCTATGCTCTCCTCCTGAGGGATTATCAAATCAAAACAATTTATTCTGTCATATCACAAATTCAGCCAAGGCAGTTATTATATTCCTTTATCAGCTTCTGAGCTTTCCAGGACTGACTGCCTGCCATTCTGTAAATCTCCAAAGCTGTTAATGGAGTCCTTTAAAAAAAAATAAACAATTTTGTTTATGGGATGTGGTCTAATTTATTTAATTCACAACAGACTTCAATTTTTCACAGTCATAGAAACATCCTGTTACAAGTGTTATTCCAAGAGCTTTTTACCTGGATTAATTTGAGGCATGTTCATGACTACTCAGCAGTTCTTGAGAAGGGATTAAAAATCTAACAGCTTTCAAACATCCTGTTTACAGACACAGAACTCAGTAATTATATCACAATTCAGATTTATGGATGAGAGGTGATAATTTTAAGTACTTAATAATTTAAGCATGTTAATAAAGATGTTGTAGTTTTTATTTTCTTTCTTTTTATTTTTGCTTGAAATCTTGAAAAATATTTTGCTCTCACATTTCCACACATTTCATTAAAGCTCTAAAAAGCTCTTTTCTCTAGGTCTTTTTCCCTCTGCTTCCTTCATGGGTTGTTTGTGGACTTGGGCATTGCTCTGTGTGCATGTGTATATATATGTGGGTGTGTGTAGGTCTCCAGAAACACTCTCTAGGCATGTGATCTTCTCCAGGCCTCACCTCAGTCTTCAGATTCTCCATCTGTAAAACAAGGGTTTTGGACCTGGTTCTCCTTATTTCTCCCTTTCTCTCTTTTAATTAGTGTACTTTAATATTGACTTGTTCAGGATGCAGAGCACTTCCAACACCCCAAAATAATTCCTTCACACAACCTTTATGGTCTTTTATCCATCCCACTCTTATCTCCTGGCAGTCACTGATCTGCTCTCTATCACTATAATTTTATCTTTTTAAGAATGTCATATAACAAAAATCATACAGTATATAACTTTTTGAGATTAGCCTCTTTCACTCAGAACAACGCCTTTGAAATTCATTCAAGTTGTGTTTCTCAGTAGTTCATTCCTCTTTAATTGTTGAGCAATAGTTCTCATATGTATGTTTCATTACATGGATATTAACTGTTTTCTTGCCATTTGCCAATAATTTTCAACCAGTTAATGTAAACCTCTATTTATATTCCACTTTGATCACCCTTTCCATGTCCATTCCTAAGACATTTCCCTCAGCTAGAATTCTCCAAATTTTAAATTCCAGATCTTCCTGTCTATGAGTTTCTCTTACTCGTGAACCTTATAGAAATCACTTGGTGCTTGCTGGCTCTATATTACATTTATCATTCTCTTCCTTTCTTTACTCTCTTTTCATCTTGTGGTTGTTTCCTCATGAGATAGCCTCCCCAGTCACTGTCTTTATCTGACTTCTTACTATTTCTTCTTGTTAAATTTATTAGCCATGACTTCTCTGATAACCCACCCAAGCCTCTTGGCATCATTATCAAATGTTCTCACTGTTGAATAGCTGGATCCAAAAGTATTGTTGATGGATGGGACAGCAAAATAAATTTTAATACAGATAAGCATATGTAAGATTAAGATTCAACTCCTTAATTATAAGTGAGAGTTGTAGGTACTTTTCTGTGGTGGCTTGAAAAGCTTAGATGTGAAGCTTACATCCTCTTGTGAGTCCGGAGTATACCAGTGACAGAATAAAATCAGTTACTTATTCAGATCTTACTGCTGCTAGTCAATGCCCTGGGAGCCTCACATTTCTACCTATTGATATTCGTAAATATTTCAAGTTATTTTTCATTATAATCTTAATATTCAGATGGAAAGATGAACTTAGATTACTTAGGTAGGCTAAATAATTTATGCAAAATCATGCAATGTGGAAAATAATCATATATATCTACACAAACAGAGTTTATGGTGCAAGTGAGGGGAGAGTTTTATCTCATTTGTGTTCTGCTCACCTGAAAACTGAAACAGAACATTCATCCCATCTATCATACTTTAAATGGGACCCTGCCTATCTGCTGAAGACTTGGGTGATGGGTAGGTAATTAAACTATCACATGGAGAGATATATGAGGGAAGCGATCATAATAGAAAGTAGAAAAAGGTTGGCAAGACTATGTTCATAAAAGTGTATGGAAAATCCACATTGTACTTCTCCATGTAAATGGCTGTATTTATGAATAATGTGTGTGTAAAAATGTGCCTATTTGCTCATAAGTGCTTTGACGTGCCTATAGGGGTCAATTCCTTTGAGTTTGTAGGTATCTATTACTCTATAATGTGCTTAGATATCTCTATTTACTTCTCTGAATATCAATGATAAGTATGTATCATAGTAAATATCTAACAAATATCTAAGATATTATTTAACATTTGTGCATCGACCAAAATTCATTAAGTGTCTAATTTGTACCATGTCCTATAATAGGTACAGTAGAAACAAAGGTGATTAAATACAACTCCTATTTTAAAGGGCTGTGTAATCTAGTTAGAAAGACATGCAAACACAGAATTGATATATGTAGAAATGATCTAGAAAATTGAGCATATGAATCAGAAGTCTTTGAGACCATAGAAAAGATGTTCACCTCACACTGCCAGGGGCAGGCAAGGAAGAGTTAACTAATGTGACGTGACTTTAAGGGAGAAAATGTACCAGGAATTCTCTTTTTATATCTCCTCATTATGTTGTCATATGGGA